TAGTGCGGATGAAACAAGAGTGGCTCTGAGTTGATAACTGTTGCAGTTGAGAGATAGACTCATGGGTGGGGTTGTCATACTGTTCTCTCCTCTTTCATACAGGCTTAATATTTTCTGTACCAACCAAAAAAAAAGCTTTTTTCAAAATCCAGGTGGGTGCCATTCCCAAAGAAAGGAGAACATGGTTAAAGTGAAGGAGGCAGCTCGTTAAAGGCAAGGAACAGCCAACGGCAGCAAGTGCTAGAGCACCCCATTCCAGTCTAAGTTGGGGGCTGGGGGTGTGGTCAGCGATGAGGCTGGGAGCCAGGAAGGGTGACACCTACCCCACTATGACTTGTTGGCTGGTCAACAAGCATAAGTCTTCGGGAAATGGGGAAACATTGGGATATGATGAACATTGTAAGAAAAGATTAGACTTGTGCCTTAGCCAGACCGGGTGAATCTGAAGAAATCAAAAGTGAAAGTGAAAGTCTCTCAGTCATGTCTGACTCTTGGCGACCCCATGGACGGTACAGGCAAGGAATTCTCCAGGGAAGAATACTGGAGTAGGTAGTCATTCCCTTCTCCAGGGAATTTTCCCCACCCAGGGATTGAACCCAGGTCTCCCACATTGCAGGCAGATTCTTTACCAGCTGAGATCAAGTGGGTAGCAAATTAGAAGGTTGTTGTAGGTGTCCTGGTAAGTGACTTCAAGACCTGAACAAAGGTGATAGTAGGGATGGAGAGAAGGAGAGCTGCAATGGAGATTTTAGTAGATATGACTTCACAACTCTAGTTAATTATAGACAGGGGAAACATGAGCAAGAGGCAAGAATGACTGCAAGCTTCCAGTCTAGGGAACTGACAGCAAAGCCTTTAACCAAGAGAGAACACGCAGAAGGATTAGCAATGGTGATCTAATTGTGTTTTTTTTTAATTAATTTTATTGGAGTATAGTTGCTTTACAATGTTGTGTTAGTGTCCACCGTATAGCAAAATGAATGAGCAACACATGGAATATTGCTGTGCGGTGTTTAGTCGCTCAGTCATGTCTGACTCTTGGTGAACCCGTAGACTGTAGCCCAGCAGGCTCCTCTGTCCATGAGGATTCTCCAGGCAAGAATGCTGGAGTGGGTTGCCACTGCTTTTTCCAGGGGATCTTCCCAACCCAGGGATTGAACCCAGGTCTCCTGCATCGTAGGTGGATTCTTTACCATCTGAGCCACCAGGGAAGCCCCATGGAATATTACTCAGACATAAAAAGGAACAATATTGGATTATCTGTAGAGGCATGGGGAATGTGGACCTAGAGAATGTCATAAAGAGTGAAGTCAGAAAAAGAAAAATAAATATCATCTATTAACACATACATGTGGAAGCTAGAAAATGGTATAGGTGATCTTATTTACAAAGCAGAAATACAGACACAGACATAGAGAACAATACTAGATAACATCTAACTGTGTTCTGAGAAGAGACCCTGGCAGGATGTATCATTCAAGACTGAGAACTCCCTGACCATCCTTGTGTGACAGCTACAGACTCCCTTGCAGGTGTCCAAGTTCCTTTTCTTCTCTAGATTCCATTCCTTACAAAACCATAGGAGATAAGAGCTGGGAGAAGCTTCTGGTAGCATTTAGCCTAATACCCTCCTTGTACAATTGAGAAGTCTAGAGGTGGTAACTGTCTAAAATCCTGATGACCTTTTTAATATGTTTAGGTTGCCCTAACTTCAAATGAAAAACAACAACAAAAATCAAACACATAGCTATAACCCTTCCTTTTCATCAACTTGACTACCAATCTTCCTTCTTGAATAGTCAAGTACCCATTGTCCCATTTCCTTGTAATTCAGAATTCATTCCTTAAAGATCTGCAGCGTTTTACTTCTCTACACTTTGAATGCTACTGTTCTAAAATTAACTGAGTTTGCTCTGCCAGGAACTGTCTGATGTGAGCCCTGGTTATAAGCAAGGTGAAAAGACAGCCTTCAGAATGGGAGAAAATAATAGCAAATGAAGCAATAGACAAAGAATTAATCTCAAAAATATACAAGCAACTCCTGCAGCTCAATTCCAGAAAAATAAATGACCCAATCAAAAAGTGGGCCAAAGAACTAAACAGACATTTCTCCCAAGAAGACAAACAGATGGCTAACAAACACATGAAAAGATGCTCAACATCACTCATCATCAGAGAAATGCAAATCAAAACCACAGTGAGGTGCCATTTCACACCAGTTAGAATGGCTGCTATCCAAAAGTCTACAAGCAATAAATGCTGGAGAGGGTGTGGAGAAAAGGGAAACCTCTTGCCTGTTTGTGGTAAAGCAGACCAGTACAGCCACTATGGAGAACAGTGTGGAGAGTCCTTAAAAAACTGGAAATGGAACTGTCATATGACCCAGCAATCCCACTCCTGGGCATACACACTGAGGAAACCAGAATTGAAAGAGACACATGCACCCCAATGTTCATTGCAGCACTGTTTATAATAGCCAGGACATGGAAGCAACCTAGATGTCCATCAGCAGATGAATGGATAAGAAAGCTGTGGTACATATACACAATGGAATATTACTCAGCCATTAAAAAGAACACATTTGAATCAGTTCTAATGAGGTGGATGAAACTGGAACCTATTATACAGAGTGAAGTAAGCCAGAAGGAAAAGCACCAATACAGTATACTAACGCATATATATGGAATTTAGAAAGATGGTAATGATAACCCTGTATGTGAGACTGCAGAAGAGACATAGATGTATAGAACAGTCTTTTGGACCCTATGGGAGAGGGTGAGGGTGGGATGATATGGGAAAATGGCATTGAAACATGTAAATTATCATATGTGAAATGAATTGCCAGTCCAGGTTCGATGCATGATACAGGATGCTCAGGGCTGGTGCACTGGGATAACCCAGAGGGATGGGGTGGGGAGGGAGGTGGGAGGGGGGTTCAGGGTGGGGAACACATGTACACCCATGGCGGATTCAAGTCAATGTATGGCAAAACCAATACAATATGGTAAAGTAAAATAAATAAATTAATTAATTAAAAAAATAAAATTAACTGAGGAAGACTTTGTCAGACAAAACAACTTTTCCTCAGTCCCCAAAGCTGTTCCTTGGCTTCCTGTGAAGTCTGAATACTATCTGCTGCACCTCTCCTTTAAGGCTTTGCTCCCTTGCTAACAGTGAGCCTTCCTTGGATCTATTCCTTCCTCCATTGACAACTCCTACTCTTTCATGATTCACTTTTTTTTTTTTTGAACACATGATCCACTTTTTAAAAAATATTTATTGATTTGGCTGCACTGGCTCTTTGTTGCAGCATGGGGGATCTTTAATCTTCATCTTCAATCTTACTGTGGCATGTAGGATCTTTTTAGTGTCAGCATGCAAACTCTCAGTTGTGGTATGTGGGATCTAGTTTCCCGACCAGGAATCAAACCTGGGCCCCCTGCATTGGGAGGTTGAAGTCTTAAGTCACTGGACCACCAGGGCAGTTCCCAAGATCGACTTTTGACTCCACTTTTCCCCTAAACCTCCACACTTCCACCATGAGCCAAACACTCGTCTCTTCAGTCAGTTATTCTGGGGTCATTCACCTCACGGTGTTCACAATGTCTTCTGGGTTCACATCCAGATGTTCTGCACATGTCATAAATGTGATGTGCCAGTTTTCTTGGCCCCCTTGGTCACTGGAAGCAAGGTGCCTTCTCAAAGAAAAGGAATCTATGTGCCCATGGGGCTCACTGCTGGGTTGCACCACAGTGAAAATGGACATTGACGGATGAGAGCCTGTTCTGAGAGGAGCAACGGGGTTGGTAAGGGATCTAAAAACAATACACAAAAACCATTGAAAAGGCTAAGCATGATGGGAAAGATAGTGCTCTAGGGATTCAGTTTTCTGCAAATTTGTGAAAACTTGTCACGTGGGATGAGGCATAGATGTGTTTTTTTCTGTTTCAGAAAGCAGAAATTGGAAGGAGGTTATATTTTGGCTCAAAAGGAAAAAAAGTACTGCAAATAACTCAGGTTGCTCAATCCAAGAAAGAGCTCTCAATGCAGTGAACTGTGCCCCTGCTGAAGGTGTTGAAGAGAGAGACTGGCCACCCAGCCTCTGAGATCCGCTTTGCTCTGACACCCTGTCAATTGTTCTCCCTGTGACAGCCTGTCAGCACTGCAGGCTTCACATATCTGATGTGGAATCAGCTGTCCAGTCCAATTCCTCAAGTCTATCACTGATGCTGTTTTGCTTCTAGATTCCTGGGTGAGATTCAACGTCTTAGATTCCTTGCTCTCTTTAGGTCCCCATACCTTCACCTCCAGAATGTTTCTTGACATGCTCTTGATACTATATCTTCATGGATACCATGACAGCCCAAACTTGCCAAATCCCGTGTGGACAGAAGTCATTGGATTTTTGATCTCTCTAGAGTTTGAGCCTGGCCTTCTTATTTTATAAGTAAGGAAAATGAGACACAGAAAAATGAAAGACTTGTCTAAGGTCACATGGTTACAAGTGGTGGTTCTAGGCTCCAAGACTACTGGTGCCATCTTCTTCCATGCCCCATACCACAGCAGCTCTGGGAGTTCTCCTGATAATCACTCAGGCCATCATGTTACATTTCAGCTTAACTGGTTTGATTAACATTGGCCATGTCTTATCCATGGAATGATCAGTTTATTTGGTTAACATTGTGATGGTCTTTGGTCAAATCATACACGTTAATCTAGATCTAGATATTACCCCCAATCTGATAACTGTAACAGACTACTGAGTCTGCTTTGAGTTAAAACGCACTGTTCTTTTCTGTGCTTCTCGTAGATGCTGCCAAAGTAAGACTGCTGAATTGTGCAATAGAGGAGACTTCTAGCCAGTTCAGGCTCTCTAGAGTCTGCAAATCCAGGTCATTTGGATTTGAAACATATCATTGTACTCCAATGAGTACAAAAATGACATATATCATGTTAACTGGCTAGGCCTTGAATACTCCCATAAAAGGTCCTGGACTCACGTTGGTTCTTCTGTTGCTATTCTGGTCTCCTCTAGTTCTTGAGCTTGTTTCAGCCAAGGTAATTTAGCTTCCACTGGACTTTTTTCTAAGGAAAAATGAACATAAACAACAAGCTTAATTATTGTTAATCATTCAAGAGTTGGACATGCGATTGTTATTTGCTGAAGATTTCATCAATTTTTTTTTCAAATGAACAGTGCATGAAGTGGCTTCTGGACGAAACCAAAAATTTCTGTCATGTATTTTTTTAATTAACACATTATCAGAATGCAAGCAAACAATCCCATGACACAGTTGAATATATTCTTCAAGTTAGCATAAAAACACCCTTTATAAATCAGTACCAATCTCTGTTGTTTGCATATTAAAGCTCTGATTTCAACCAGATCAGTTTGCTTTCTTTTGCCACACATTTTTTGCCCATTGAATGAAGAAATTAATAGAGACAAGCAAATAACATAGAAGGCTTAGAAAATTGCGAGGAGGAAAGTCTGTATTATGGTTTACTCAAACTTTAAAATGTTGCAGTTGTTAAGAGAGATGATTACCAATTATAGTTGGCCTGCAGGAGCAAGCTGGTGCCCTTTTCTGTCCTTTGAGGCTTCCTAAGATGTAAAGAAACCTTCTAATTATGAAGTGAGAAGGGAAATAATTTTGGACTGCTTTGGAGAAATCACAGACGCTAAGAAAGTAGCTATAAAAGTACCATTGACTGCAGAAAAGGAGAAAAGACTTCCCTGAAGAAGTTATATAATCAGTATTTGTACCTTGCATGGAAACCAGAGATTTTTCCAGAAGGCAGACATCATGAAAGAAATGAAGAATTAGTTGCTTATGAGGCTATTTGTATGAAGAATGCACCCAGAAATCAAGAAGAATCTTACCACCCTATCTAATGGGCCAATAAGGACGATTCCTTGGCATTGACACTTGGGAGTAATTCTTTTTCCATTTCCAAAAGGAAATACTTGTCACAAGGATTGGTAATACCTTATTAAAGTGCATGTATGGAAAGACTCCTGTCTAGAGGGGAACACATACATACCTAAGAGGTGGTGCCACGGTTTGTTCACCCATGGATGCTACCCATGTCTGCTAATTCATGTGGAACAAATGGAACCACACAAAAGTTTCTCAGTGCATCTGTAAACCTACATTGGAGATTAATTTATAAATCTAGACTTTCAGTCTAGAAAGTTTTCTTTGTTCATGGTAGACAATAGGACGTACGATGAAGACAACAGGAACGTACCTGTTCCTTCCACTCTGGTGGAAGGCAGGTAGGAATTTTCCTATTCCTCTCTCTCTTCATCCTCCTCCCCCTTTTTCTTCAAAGCAGGCACTGAATCACTAATTTTATGTCCACTTCTTTCTGGAGTTATTTCTCATCTGATCTCCAGTAGCATATTGGGCACCTACTGACCTAGGGAGTTCATCTTTCAGTGTCCTATCTTTTGGCCTTTTCATACTGTTCATGGCATTCTCAAGGCAAGAATACTGAAGTGGTTTGCCATTCCCTTCTCCAGTGGACCATGCTTTGTCAGAACTCTCCACCATGACCCGTCCATCTTGGGTGGCCCTATATGGCATGGCTCATAGTTTCATTGAGTTAGACAAGGCTGTGGTCCATGTGTTATGTCCACTAAGAAATGTTAATATAAGCCTACACAGACAGGAGCCACTGTACCTATACAGTAAGTCTCCTACATATGACCCTTCAAGATGTGAACTTCCAAAGATGTGAATGTGCATCTGGTTTAGCAAGGAACCAGAACCTGTGCCATAAACATCAGGCACAAGTGACACTGCAGCCTGTCTTCTGTATCCAATTGCCAACAATCCTTGAGCTCTACCATCTCCCACTCCCTCTCCCTTCTCCAGTCAGTAACTCTTCTTGGCTGTTCAATCGATGCCAGCCCCATGTTCTGCACTACTGTACTTCTTAAGGTACTTACTGGAAGATTAAAAGTGTTTTCTTTATGCCAGTACCATACTGTCTTGATGACGGGATAGGATGGGGAAGGAGGTGGGAGAGTGGTTCAGGATGGGGAACACATGTACACCCGTGGCAGATTCATGTCAATGTATGGCAAAACCAATACAACACTGTAAAGTAATTAGCCTCCAATTAAAAAAAAAGTGTTTCCTTTATTATTGTTATTTTTTTAATGTATTGTTTGTGTGAAAAGTATGATAAACCTAATACAGCACACTACTATATAACTAATTGTGTTAGTTGGGTACCTAGGTTAACTTTGTTGGACTTACAAACAAACTGGATTTATGAACCAGCTCTCAGAATGGAACTTGTTTGTATGTAGGGGACTTATTGCACTGAATCAACAAGATCTAAGTTTCTCTTCAAGATCAATTAAGGACATTTTAACTTCTTTATCTAGGCAGACAGGTCAATCTGTCAGTGAATAGTTTTTTAAGAAAGTTAGTATGTTTAAATACAAATACTGCAGTATTAGTAAGAGAGCTGTAAAGCACCACCTGATTTCACTTTAAAATGCACCACAAATTTACCTTTTGGTTTATAACAGGGGATGGGAATGATACATTCTTCTTTGATGTGTAACTTCAGTTGTGGGTTACAGCCACCAACGTGCTGTCCACGGTGGTTGATGCACAGCACAACTCGATAACGTAACCCTCGGCCACAAGTCACTGTGCACTTCAGAGATAAAAAGAGAAGCCAATGAAATTCTTCTACATGAATATTAAACACAAAAGATCATCAGATAAATATTACATAAGAAAGGGGATGGAGGCTAATTTCCCATGATTCTTATGCTTCAGGGCCCCTCCCTTGCAAGATTACTTCCAATTCTCACTTTGAAAAGTATTTCAGGTGAGGTCACAGCACAAGAAATATTGAAATGCCCTAAAATTTTTCTATACAAATAAACCTTTTGAAACAATTAATTAAAAAGATATCAAATTTTGCTGAACCATGCTACAGGATTACCTTTCTATTCTGTGTATAGAAACTTATCTTGCAAAAATATCATATGAAAAGGCCCTCTAAGAGTATTCAGCCAAAAATGTAGGAAAAAATACTATAGGTGTGATAAGGCAGTTAAAATGAATGAAAACATTATGTTATATTCTCTAAATTTTGTGAATTTTGTGTTGTCAGCATTTCTTTTCTTGAATAATTTATTTATGATTTAGAAGGTACTGTTGCCTATGAATGGAATTTTTTCAAGTCATGAATATCCAGGATATCTTTGCAGTTTATGTACATTATGTTGGTAAGTATATATGTATGTATGCATTTTTTTTTAATCAAGACTAATTTTTAGGACTACTTAAGGTTTACAGAAAAATTGAGCAGTGATTATAGTGCAATAAAAATAAAATAAAATAATTTTAAAAAAGAAAAACTGACCAGTTAGTATAAGAGTTCCCATATGCCCCCTCTTCCTTACACACAGTATCCCCCAATATTAATATCTTGCATTACTGTGGTACCTTTGTTACAACTGATAAACCAATACTGATATATTATTCTTAACTCAAGTCCAGAGTCACATTAGGGTTGTCAACTTTAAAATACTTGTAATTTCTTACAATTTCATTATTCTAAATATTTATTTAGATACTCAATATTTGTGTTTTGTATTCTTTTTTCTTAAAAAGTCACCTCCTTGGTAGGGGAGGGATAGGCTGGAAGTTGGAGATTAGCAGATGTAAACTGTTGCATATAGAATGGATAAACAACAAGGTCCTAGTGTATAGCACAGGGAACTATATTCAATGCCCTGTGATAAATCATACTTGGATAAGAATATGAGAAAAGAATGTATAAGTATGTATAACTTGATCACTTTGCTGTGCCGCAGAAATTAACACAACATTGTAAATCAACTATACTTGAACAAAATAAAAATTTTAAAAAGTCACCTCCATATTATTTAAACTTCAGGTCCCACCAATCCTGGATCCACCCCTGGAAGAAGTCAAGAAGCCTTGGGCACATGCCACAGAACAGACAGTGTTCTGCAGACGTGATCTCACTAAGGGTTCTGATACACTGGCAAGTCAACCACTTCATTCCTATTTAACAGATGAGCCAATCAACAACCCACCAACTAAGGACCTTCCTCAAAGTCAAGTAGTTCCTAAGAGGCCAAGTGGAATTCCATCCCAGAGCCTCCTGCTGTCAAAATAATGATTTCACCACTGCTTCATAAAGCTTGAAGATTCTTTCCTAAGTCCATAGATTTTTCTTAAAATGTCAGAGAAGAGTTTCAGAGGATATGGAGGCCTTTTGCAGCATAGACCCATCTTCAAGAAATTCTTAAAGAGATGGGAATACCAGACCACCTTACCTGCCTCCTAAAAAACCTGTATGTAGGTCAAAAAGCAACAGTTAGAACCATATATGGAACAATGGACTGGTTCAAAATTGGGAAAGGAGTACGTCAAGGTTGTATAGTCACCCTGCTTCCTTAACTTTTATGCAGGGTACATCATTTCAAATGCTGAGGCTGGATGAATCACAAGCTGGAATCAAGATTGCCAGGAGAAATATCAACAACCTCAGACACACAGATGATACCACCCTAATGACATAAAGTGAGAAGGAAGCCTCTTGACAAGGATGAAAAACGAGAGTGAAGAAGTTGGCTTGAAACTCAACATTCAAAAAACTAAGATCATGGCATCCAGTCCCATCACTTCATGGTGAATAGAAGGGAAAAAGTGGGAGTAGTGAGAAATCTTATTTTTCTAGGCTCCAAAATCACTAAGGATGGTGACTGCAGCCATGAAATTAAAAGATGCTTGCTCCTTGGAAGGAAAGCTTTAACAAACCTAGATGTTGTATTAGAAAGCAGAAACACTACTTTGCTGACAAAGGTCCATCTAATCAAAGCTATGGTTTTTCTACTAGTCATGGATGGATGTGAGAGTTAGGCTGAGCACCAAAGAACAGATGCTTTTGAACAGTGCTGCTAGAGAAGACTCTTGAGAGGCCCCTGGACAGCAAGGATATCAAGCCAAGTCAATCCTCAAGGAAATCAACCTTGAATATTCATTGAAAGGACTTATGTTGAAGCTGAAGCTCTTGGCCACCTGAGTAAAAGAACTGATTCATTGGAAAAGACCCTGATGCTGGGAAAGACTGAAGGCAAGATAAGGGGACAATAGAGGATAAAACGGTTAGATAGCATCACCAACTCAATGGACTTGAATCTGAGTAAAGACCGGGAGATAGTGAAGGACAGGGAAGCCTGGGATGCTGCAGTGCAAAGGACCCCAAAGAGTCAGACACGACTTAGTGACTGAACAATGATATCTCAGTGGCTTCCAAATAGGCTGCCTGCCTCTGGGTTTTCCCAGCATCAGTCTATCTTACCTCATTTACTTAAAATATAACACATTTACTCTCTTCAACAAAAAGAGTGAAGCTTCATAGTAACCACCAGATCAAGAATACACTTCTAGGGACTCCCTTGGTGGTCCAGTGGCTAGAACTCAGCCCTCCCAATGCAGGAGGCTTAGTTTCAATCCCTGGTCAGGGAACAAGATCCCATATGCCACAACTAAAGATTCCTCATGACACAACTAAAAAGAGCCTGCATGCCACAGGAAAGATCGAAGATCCCACATGACTCAAGTAAGATCTGGTGTAGCCAAATAAAATAAATAAATATTTTAAAAAAGAACACAGTTCCAGTGTCAGTTTTAGCATCTCTGTCTTAACCTTCCAATTCTTAATGAGTTCTCTCTTTAATCCAGATGAATCAGGGCCTTTTCAACCTCCAGTCATTCGGTGTCATTTCTGCTTTACTCCACCATCCTGGCTTAGCCATACCCCACAGTGATGCCTTCTCTAGGCTCCTGCATGGTTCAAGTCTGAGAACCTGAAACATGGGTTCAGCAATATAAGGGCAACAAAGACTTTCCAAATAACTCTGTTTCAATCCCTGTTCCTTTCAGATATACCATGGTTCTCAATCATTCTTACCTGCTCTGATGCCTCCAACATTCTCCCTCACATCATCCTTCAACTGTCTTCTCAGCTCTTCAGGAGTAGGAACCATGTTCACATACAACTTCTGCATCCGCCATGTTGCCCGGTACAGTATTGGCCACAGAGCAAATAATCATTAAAGTCTGAGACGGAATTAAAAGTGGCATATTCTCGAATCTTACCTGAGACCACTCCATGGCGACCCACTTGGGACAGTCAAACAGATTGCAGGTTTGCATCACCTTGGGCTTGGGCGCGTACATGCACTTCCATTCTTCCACCTGAAGTATCGCTCCGTGCATGGACTCCTCCACACACACAAAGGTCCGCCTCTGAATCCCGCCTCCACAGGACACTGAGCATGCGGTCCAAGGGTTATGTTCCCAGCTCAAAAGCAAACAATTGAAAACGCATTATTCATCTGTTGCTTGCTTCAAGTTTGCAAGGTTGATTGCAACAAGTACAGTGACAAGACTTTAATCTTAACTACTACACACACTGTGCTGTCTTAACTCCTTGGTCCTGAAGATTATTGTCAGATGGGAGTAACACTCCTGCCCCAGTGTATTATAACAACAGGGCCATTGTGTGAAAGCATCTTCAATCTGACTCTAAAGTATAAAACATCAATGGACAGTATTACCAGGGAATCATACAAAGTCAGTCAGAAAGAACCATCCTAACATGTCTGGGTATAAAAGGGAATGCAAATATCTAATCAACTGGAATGTGTTAGCTCCCTCTGTAACGTGCTGTGCTTAATCACTCAGTCATGTCTGACTCTTTACGACCCCATGGACTGTAGCCTGTCAGGCTCCTCTGTCCATGGGGATTCTCCAGGCAAGAATACTGGAGTGGGTTGCCATACCCTCCTCCAGGGGACCTTCCCAACCCAGGGATCAAACTCAGGTCTCCCACATTGCAGGCAGATTCTTTACTGACTCAGCCACCAGGGAAGTTCCCCTCTATAATACTTAGGTATAAATGCATGCTTGACATCTCCAGTGACAGAAAATATTACCTTTGAGGCAGCCTATTCCGTATAATTCTTAGAAAAATCTTATGTAATTAAAGTCTTTGTCCCCTTAGCTCTCTGTAAATGGTCTAGTCTCACACATTGAAGACTACTGCTACAGACACTATGGGCCTCCCCAGTGGCTCCGAGAGTAAAGAGTCCGCATGCAGCGCGGGAGACCCAGGGTCCATCCCTGGGCCGGGAAGATCCCCTGGAGAAGGAAATAGCAACTCACTCCAGTATTCTTGCCTGGAAAACCCCATGGACTGAGGAGACTGGTAGGCTACAGTCCATGGGGTCGCAAAGAGTTGGACATGACTGAGCGACTTCACTTTCACCTTTCACAGATAATAAAGCTCCTTGCAGACTGCTTAGAGCATATTACAGAAAGGAAGAGGAAACACATAACTCACCGAGGGAGAGGCTGGAAGTGGTCATAGGGCATGATCTCTTTAAATCCATCACTAGAAATGAAATTGTGAGAATATAATTACTACTCAATACATTTACTCATTTGACTAGTACAGATGTCATATGACAAAAGACAGAGCTCTTTCAAAGTATATTGACACTTAATATGCCAACTGTTCTGAACCATTTCCCCCCAAATTTCCTTTCCACTTGCACACTTCTGCTACCATCTCCTTAATTTTTAGGGACATCTCTGATATACAACTTACTTAATTCTATATGAAAATGAAGAAAATGAAGCTAGCAGTATATACTCATTAAAGTAGTATATGTTCATCATCTCTTAATTTTGATAAATCTATTTATTCCCTTTTATCCTCTTAAATTATTGTGATAAAATAAATTCATGATATTAACATACTGTCTTATTAGCAGGATCTTTAGAAAACCACTTTGTTTAACAGAATCTGTCTTTTAAAAAGGCCTCTATTCGTGATTGTGTACACCTGGGATTACAGGAAATGCACAGCTTCAAGATAGGAAATGAAATCCACTGAGAACGCTTCCCTTTCCACTTGCACACTGCCTCAGCCAGCTGGCAGAGAGCTGGGGGATTCTGGGACTTGATAGTGTGCTGTTATTTTAGGATCCTGTAGCAAAGCCAAGAAACTTCCCCAATCCAACTTCCCCAATCCAGAAGTTGGATTGCCAACTCCTGGCAATCCAAGTCACCAGGTACTAAATTATGCAGCAGGATGGTTTATGCATAGCTTTTCTGCTCTAGCAGTCAAACTCTGCACTTCCTGCACTATGCATTATTTATGCTGAGTTTAAGGTGAACACTTCAAAAGTTGAAATGTGGTCATCAGTAACCCAGTTTAAAAAGCTAAAATGGTGAATTATCGATATTCACAGCTGGTAGGTGGACTAGATGTACTTGAATGAAGACACCTTTCATGTTGTATACAGAAGACATGCTCAGAGAGGTTCATGATGAAAAGTGAAAGGTCACAGCACATGGAAACAGAGCCCACAAGCGTGAACCAGATGAGTGAGCAGATGAGCCTAATGCTTCCTGACCACGGTTGTAAATGGGTTCGCCACCAGGGTACATTCAAGGTCACGCAATGGAACTGTGCTGCTTGATAAGGATGGATCAGTCACAGCTGCCGTTGATTTCTTTTTTTAAATGTTTAATTGGAGAATAACTGCTTTACAAAATTGTGACGGTTTCTGCCATCCATCAACATGAATCAGCCTGTGTCATACAGGCTCCCCGTGTCATACAGCAAATTCCCACCAGCTGTCTGTTTTAAATATGGTAATGTATGTTTTCATGTCACTCTCTCAACTCATCCCACCCTCTCCTTTCCTCACTGTGTCTACGAGTCTGTTCTCTATGTCTGTGTCCCCATTGTTGCCCCGCAAATAGGCTCATCAGTACCATCCTTCTAGATTTCATATATATGTGTTAATATATGATATCTGTCTTTCTCCTTCTGACTTACTTCAGTCTGTATAACAGGTTCCAGGTTCATATACCTCATTAGAACAGACTCAACTGCATTACTTTTAATAGCAGAGTAATATTCCATTGTATACATGTACCAAAGCGCAGTGATACAAACCTTGATGGGCAAGGATCCATGCTGCATTCCTTCAGTTTGGGTTTTGGTTTCACATTTTCAGGGTAGTAATGGCAATAATGGTCAGGAACCACCCTCTTCAAGCGGATATCCACACATTCAGCAGAATTGAGCTGATACCCTAAAGCGGCAGAAGAGAAGTGTCTAAGTGTTGCATCCATTTGCGATTTCCTTGGCAATGTCATCGCTTGCCACACATTTTTTTCTTTCTTCTTTAAGAAACACAACTCAGTGGTTCTCAACCCTGGTTGTATAACAAACAAAACCATGTGGGAGCCTTTAACACATACCAGCACCCAGGTCCCCTTCTGGTCCAATGAAATCAGAAGCATTACAGTCAAGAAATCAGCATTCCCACAGGTCAAAGTGGGAGGAGTGGGTCCTATCTGTTCCCATGGTCACATTGCAACTGAAGAAATATAGCCATTCCTTTATTCCCAGGCCACCTAGAAGGTAGAAGCAGCAGATGCCCACTGCTTAATCGGAAGAGGGTATAAGGCGCTTTAGCAAAAGCACTAATAGAGAGCTAGCAATTGGACTGAGTGCTGCTTCCAGTTTCCCAAACTCCTTTAGGTTTATAGTTACTGTAGGGGAGCGAGTAAGACCATGAGTGTCAAAGCTTTGTTAAAAATGTAAATCTTTAAACAAAGGCTGGGTGATATGGTACAGCAGCAGCAGCAAAGTTATGACCAACCCAGACAGCATATTAAAAAGCAAAGACATTACTTTGCCAACAAAAGTCTGTCTAGTCAAAGCTATTGTTTTTCCAGTAGTCATGTATGGATGTGAGAGTTGGACTATAAAGAAAGCTGAGCACCAAAGAATTGATGCTTTTGAACTGTGGTGTTGGAGAAGACCCTTGAGAGTCAGAAAGGAGACAGAAAGGAGATCCAACCAGTCAATCTTAAAGGAAATAAGTCCTGAATACTCATTGGAAGGACTGATGCTGAAGCTGAAACTCCAATATTTTGGCCACCTGATGCAAAGAACTGACTCATTTGAAAAGACCCTGATGCTGGGAAAGACTGAAGGCGGGAGAAGAAGGGGATGACAGAGGATGAGATGGTTGGATGGCATCACTGACTCAATGGACATGAGTCTGAGTAAACTCTGGGAGTTGGTGATGGACAGGGAGGCCTGGCGTGCTGCAGTCCATGGAGTTGCAAACAAAGAGCCAGACACGACTGAGCGATTAAACTGAAGTGAACCGAACTGAGCAGCAAAAAAAAAAAAAAAAAAAGACTTTTAAAAAAAGACTCTCAGGTTCCTCTAAGATGACTGAAATGTTTGACCAAGATTGAGAATGACTACTTGTGTTATAACTTGCATTATAACTGATTTGTGTTATACTTAGCACTTACTCTTTAAAGATTTTTGTTTTGATATGGACCATTTTATTTTTAAAGTCTTTACTGAATTTGCTACAGTACTGTTTCTGTTTTATGTTTTGGTTTTTTTCTTTTTCTTTTTGGTCACAAGGCATGTGAGATCTTAGTTCCCCAAGCAGGGATCAAACCTGCAACTCCTGCATTGGAAGGCGAAGTCCTAACCACTGGACCACCAGGGAAGTCCCTGATTTTAGCACTTATGATTAGAATGTTATAATAGACTCCTTTGAAAATTTTTGGAGCTCATGTACAGAAGGTGATTCAGTGTCATATCTCTTTACTGTTGTCATGGCACTATGCAAGGCTCTTGTTTCCTTATATTTCCCCTTCTTCCATTACAATCCCCCAGAGACATCTATTTATTGTTAATGTGTTAAATATACATCCGTCTTTTGTAATGTTGTTTCATGTGTGACTAAATAAATAATACTGTGCCTTAAATCATCTTCTGTTTCCTACTTTTCTCACTCAGCGTTACATTTCTGAGAAGTACCCTTGTACTGAGCTGTTGCTTCGCTCTTCTGTATAATAAATATTCCACTGCTAGTACACTTTAGTCATTTCCTGCCCTGGGGTACCTAGGTTACCTCTGACTACAGTGAACTTTTTAACTGGGGAAACAGCATTTTCTATACAGGGGAACAAAACCCTCCTATCTACATCTCCCCCTGCCTCATAAGCCTTCAAAGAAGAAGGAATGAAGACATTCCTGATTCTATTCAATCAGTTTGTACAGTCTCTGAGGAAAGTGAACATTCCATATGGATGAGGGCTGTAAATTCAAAAAGACAACTCACAAAATGATGCTTCTATTTCCTGAAAGATCTGATTCCAAGCTTCCTGTCACTATATAAGTGTCATGTTAAGTTTTTAAAAAAGGTAATTTTTCAAAACCAGAATGAGCTCTTCAGAAGAAAAAAAAGTCCAAAATTAAGTTCTCAGCCTTAATCAACTGGTATAAAGTTCCAAAAATACATTTAAAGGCCCAATGGCTGAAAGCAATCTGATTTTATAAAACACTATACAGCTTCCTACAAGTTGTGGCTTAAATGTAAGCTGAGTGTAGAAGGACAGACTGGAATGCATTATAAAAAGCAAAGTCAAAAACCACAGGAACGAAAATCCAAATGGAGTCAATAAAATATGACTTGGGCACCAATATCTGCCAGAAAGTCTGCAACATCAGATGGCAACGCCAGTCCGGATACTTTCCCTGAACTAACCCCATGTGTCCCACACAGATGACTGTAGGCAAGACCGGGGAAGTCCACCCAAGTACTTGGAGACCAGCATACTAGTCTTCCTCATTATCCCAAACTCTGAAATGCATTTACATAAATCATATAGATTTGATTACTAATATAATTAGATTTTGGTAATGCTTTCCTTGTGGGTTTTATGTGTGTGTATTTTCCCCAAAATAATAACAGAATGAAATTATAGCTCCTCGAGTCAAAGAAAAATTTCTTTGTTCTAAATGGAAACATATTTCTAAAAGGAGACAAAGAGCATACAGGTGTTTATAATTTGGGGAGAGAGACAATTAATTTTCCTCCTTAATTTTGTCACAGTACACAGATAACTAAAAGAGAAAGAAATAAGACAGACTGCTTTCCTACATTAAGAAGAAATGTACTAAAATTCTGCTGGTGTACAGAAAATGGCAGGATGTTGGAGGAAACTCTGAAAGGAGCCTAACATGTTCCTTCTGTCCTCACAGGCAACGCCGTCTTTGGTGACAGACTCACAGCCAGGCGATTCCTTTGAAGGTTGGAATCCCGACCAGCAGGGCTGATTGTGGCTTTCCTTGGGCATCCAGATATGAGAAAACCTATTCTCCTCCCAAGAACTGAGCCAACTGAACTAAGCTGAGTCCCACTGTACATGTCCCTCCCAGAATGGAAAGCGTCTCTTTTAACTTCAGTGTCCAAATGAAAACACATATTTAACTGTGTGTGAAAGCTAGAAAATAAATTAAAACTAAAGAGACATTTGTTGTTTTTCTCATGGATAATTAGAATCAAAAAGAATTCTTCAGGATTAGAATTTTAAAAGACATAGAATTTGAAAGCCTCCCTATCTCTTTGCTCTTATTTTGGGGTCCATGAGAGACATGCAAACATGTTTCCAGTTCTTTGCTCAAAGGAAAGGGTGTTCTCTAAATCCAGTTTTCGCCTGTTTTCAAGAATAAGGCAGATGCATGTTCATTAACTCCACTGTGCCCCAGGCTGTGGAGTAAGATGCGTGGTTACACATCTCTAATTAGCACACTAACTTTAAAGTCAGCTTTAAAAACACAAACATGTCATTTTTAACTCTGAGCTCTAAATATTTAGGAACAAAGTCTGTGCCTCACCTCCTCCACACGTCACAGTGCAGGGAAAGAAGTCAGTTTGTCTCCACTGATGGCTGATCGGCTGGTAGAAGAAGAACTGGACCACGCTGTCCTTAGCCACAGTGTACCTGGTCTGAACAGAAAGAACTGTGATAACACGTCTGCATGCAATGAAACAGCGCCTTCCACATCTTTCAACATGAGGTGAATACAAGTCACCTAGGGAGACAAACGCGTCTATCACAACACACTCTCGTACATGAAGATTCCCAGAATGTTAAGATGTGATAGCATTTCAATTAAATTTGTCATAAACGGGATTTCAGAAGATCTTCAACCATTCTCCTGGAGTCATTTTTCCAGGTAATGCCATGCTTGTGAATGAGTTCACAAAAATGTAGGCGGACTTTTAAAAAAAAACTTTATTGGCAAATAGTTGCTTTACAATGCTATTAGTTTCTACTGTACAGCAAAGTGAATCAGCCACTTGTATACATACATCCCCTGTTTTGGATTTCTTTCCCATTTAGGTCATCACAGAGCACTGAGTAGAGTTCCCTGTGCTGTACAGTAAGTTCCTATTAGTTATCTATTTTATACATAGTAGTGTATGTATTGAAGAAGGAAATGGCAACCCACTCCAGTGTTCTTGCCTGGAGAATCCCAGGGACAGGGCAGCCTGGTGGACTGCCGTCTATGGGGTCGCACAGAGTCGGACACGACTGAAGCGACTTAGCAGCAGCAGCAACAGCAGTGTATATATGTCAATCCCAGTCTTCCAATTTATCCCACCCCTTCTTCCCTGCTTGGTATCTATAAGTTTGTTCTCTACGTCCTTGTATTCCTTCTTTGCAAATAAATTCATCTGTACCAATTTTTTCAGAGTTTTTAGTTTGCTTAACATTTTTTCTTCCTGATACATATGATTTTAATTTCTATGAGAACAGGAACTGAGATGTAATCTGGGTTTGCCTACAACATGGCACATAATTAGGAATCTTACATTTTTAATAACAACATCCCTAAGCATCTTTTAGCAGATCCTTCTGAAAGTACAATTACAGAAACTCAAAATGTACACAAATCCACAGTGTTTGCATATGAGCCTTGCTGCACCTAGTTAACAGAGAGAAGGTGCACCGCTGAGTGTGAGAAGGCAGTTATGGACAGAGATAAATTTACTTCCAGGTTATTTTATTTCAGCAAGTCCTCTCCCTTCTTTCTTTTCTTCTCTACTGATTGAACAAATGAGTGAATTGAGGAAAAGTCCCAGAATGTAACACAAAGAGAAAAATAGAGGGAAAACAAAGATTAAGCTTGTGGGGAACAGCAGTATTCCCAGAAGAAATGCCAGTATTACATGGCATTAAAGAGAAAGAAAAGAGGGACTTCCCTGATGGTCTAGTGGTTAAGACTCTGTGCTTCCACTGCAAGGGGTGCAGGTTTGATCCCAGGTCAGGGAACTAAGTTCCCATGAGCTGTGCAATGTAGGAAAGACAGAAGTACTCAGTCTAAAAATATTCATAAAGTTATGAGCAGACATCATAAAAAAATGCAACATCATGGACAAAGAGAAATTCTAAAAGTTATCAGAAAAAAGATGATTCCCAACAAAGGAGTGAGAATCAGAATGGCATCAGATTTCTCATAGGTAATAATGGATACAAGAAAACAAACACCTTTAAGATGATGAGGGACAATAGTTTTTAACCTAGAATTCTACAACCAAATTATTCACTACCAATCAATGATCACTTGTCAACTTATAAACAATCTAAGATCAAATTAACAATCAGTAATCAGTGAAAAAAAATTTTTCTCAGAGACAAAATGACAGAAACATGACCATTCAAAGACTAGAAAAATAAACTACTTAAGGGTATACTGAAAAAGAACTAATATAAATGCACGAGAAAGTAATGAGCTGCAAGCAGCAGTAATGATGAAATGATCAGTAAAGCTTATTAGTAAATATAAATAAGAATTGACTGAAAAAGAAAAGTTTGATGTACTAACTTATAAAACAATTAAACAATTGTAAAATTAACAAATGAAAAACTCCAGACAGGAGATGTGTATGGAAGAAGGGAGAGTTACAGGGATGGGATGAGGTTACAGAGGCAGAAAACACTTCTAAGGACTCTAAGAAGTTAAGAGTTTTTTAGATTCACGAAGCACCATGAAGCTTAAGCAGAAGAAAGTTACTAATTACATCATAGTCAAATTGATGAAAACACAGGAGAAAATGGTTGAAAACAGACAAATAAGACACGTTACCCTCTAAGGGACAAAAATACGTCTGACAGCTGACATCTCAACAGAATAAATGGAAGCCAGAAGACAGTGGAGAGATATCTTCAAGAAAGAGTTTCACAATGACAAAGAGGTCAAGTCACTACAAGAGCTAATGATTCTAAAAGTTAGTGTACCTAACCACCAAGCTTCAAAATATGTAATTCACAAGTTGACAAGAATAGAAAAAATACAGACACCTCCACAGTCATAGTGATAGTTTTATCAGGTCTCTTGTGGTAACAGAATAAGGAGATAAAATTCAGTAAGGCTATAATTTTGAATAAAACCATTAATAAACATGACCTAATTGATATATGTAGAACACTGTGCCCAAGAACAGAAGACTACATATCATACTCTTCCAAAATTTGCCACAGATTGTTTTCACAAATTTCAAAACATTGAAATGATATAATGTTCTCTGAATACAGTAGAATTAAGGTATAAAATGATGTGATTTCTTGAAAATTCTGACATACTTGGACACTAAACTTGGAAATATACTGTAAGTCAAATAATATATCACTATGAAAATTATAATACAATTTAACTGAATGATGAAGGAAAAGATTTCATGTTAAGCATTATGGAATGAAATTTAAGGCATGCTTTGAGAGAAATTTATGGAGTTAAAATTGTATGTAACAGAAAAATTGGATGAAAAATCACTGATCTAACCATCCATTTCAAAAAGTTAAAAAAAGAAAAGCATATTGAATCCAGAGAAAGAACAGAGATGGTAATAATAAAGACAAGAGCAGATGTTAATGATATGAGAATGAAATTACGTATTAGTGGCTTATAAAGCCAAACAGTGTTTCTCTGAAAAGTTTAATAAAATTGATAGCCCTCCAACATGAATGATTAAAGGGAAAAAAAAAGAGTAGGGACAAATAATCAATGTTAGGAATGAGACTCACCAAAGATTCTCTACATAATGGAAGAAATAAGACAATACTGTAAAAAAAAAAAACCTATGTCAATAACTTTCAAAAAGCTAGTTGAAACAAAACTGCCACATCAGAAAATCAAACATCTGACTAATTAGATAACAGCAATCTCACATAAACTGTTACAGAATAGAGGAAGTATTTCTCAATGTATTTTATAAAGCTAGCATAAAATTAAAACCAAGATCTGACAAAGACATTACAAGGAAAAAAACTCACCTCTCCTGGACATAAATACCAAAACATAATCATAAATAAAAATAATTTAAAATCATAACTAGTAATATATAAAAGGGTAATCCTTTTTGTTAATAATAAAATAACAAATAACTTGTAGGTAAATACTGACAATAAATTCTAATAAAAAATAATGACCAATAAAGTTTATTACAGGAAAGTAAGATGAGTTTAACATCCCCAAATCAATGTAGTTCACTATATTAAAAGGAAAGAAAGTTCGGACGATTGGAATACATGTAAATCCATGGCTAATTCATGTCAATGTATGACAAAAACCACTACAATATTGTAAAGTAATTAGCCTCCAACTAATAAAAATAAATGAAAAAAATAAAAAAATAAAAAATAAATTAAAAAAATAAAAAATAAAAGGAAAGAAAGGAAAAAGCATAATCACTACTTCTATTAAACACTGCACTACACGTCCTAAGTAATACAAGAAAGCTCCAGTATTTGACACCTGACGGGAAGAGCCAACTCACTGGAAAAGAACCTGATGCTGGGAAAGACTGCGGGCATGAGGAAAAGAGGGTGGCAGAGGATGGGATGGTTAGATAGCATCACTGACTCAGTGGACATGAGTCTCAGCAAACTCCAGGAAATAGAGAAGGACAGGGAAGCCTGGAATGCTGCATGCAGTCACGGGGTCTCAAAGAGTAGGACAAGACTTAGTGAGTGAACAATAACAACAATGTAAGAAAATTTCTTTAAAGTATAAAACAATTGGAAAAGAAGAAACCAAACTCGTTATTTGTGGATGTCATAATTGTGCATGTACATAATCCAAAAGAATTCACAAACTATTAGTATAAACATGTGAATGCAGTGAGAATATAATGTCAGTATATGGAAACCAATTAGAGTTTCATTCTCCAGCCGAAAACAAATAGAAAAAAATTTAAAACATTTACAATAACATCAAAATAATAATCAAATATTTGGAAATTAATAAAAGATATGCAAAACACACACACTGAAAATTATAACCATTATTGAGAAGACTTTCAAAAGAACTAAATAAAGGGATGAATATACCATATTTATGGACTGGAAGACAATATTGGAAGGTGAATTTTCTCCAAACTGACCTACAGATTCAAAGCAATTCAAATCAAAATCAGCAGAATAAAAACTTAGGAGCATATTTCAAAGTTGACATGGAAAGGGAAGGAGGCAAGAATATTAAAGATAATCTTCAAGAACAAAGCTGAAGAAATTACACTGCCAGATATTGACTTGTTCTAATGTTACAGTAATTAAGTCACAATGATATTGCTACATATAGATAAATAGGTCAGAAGAGAGTGTAAAAATAGAGCCACTGATTCTACTTCATACATAAATATCAATTCTAGTTCGATTATAGCTCTCAGTGTAAAAGGTAAAATAGTAATGTTTCTAGACAAAAATATACAAGAATATTTTTATGATCCAGAATAAAGCAAAGATTTTCTAGCCAGGATACAAATATCTTACACATAAAGTTTAAAATTAACAACCTATAGCACAACAAAATTATGAACTTCTATATGGGGACTGGTAGCCATAAATACATTTAATGGAGAACAAAAGTTGAAAATGAATTAAGAATTTAACTCTAGAAATTAAAAATACAATACCAAGATAAAACCCATGTAAAGAGAAAAGA